CCCCCCCGGGGGGGGGGGTTCTGCAGACAGACAAGATAGAGAGACTGGCAAGGGTGAAAGGAAAGACACAGTGCTGAAAAATCAGAGGACAGAGGACTTTGCTGTTTTCGAAGAAGGAAAGTGTCGAAGCTCCAGGGCCGGAATGAGATGTTCTAAGTCCACAGAGCCGGACAATGTTTAACTGGCGGGGTCAGTCACCTTTGGGAAAAGGGGCATCTCATCATCCTGCGCTGGCAGCGTCTCCTGTTTGACCCCCTGCGGCCGGCTGGACCCAGGCGAGAAAGAGGCCACTCAGCGTAGAAGCGAGGAAGAAAGCCCCCAAGCCCTCGGCCGCCTTCGACAACAGACTCCCTCCTCTCCTCGCAGCGGCCCTCTCTTGAATTGGCCGGGGACGGGCGCAGCCCCGCAAAACCCTGCTTCCTGACCTCTCCCCCCCCCTGCCCCCCCCTCCCTCCCAGGTCCCTGAGCTTGGGCTTGCAGCAAACGTCCAGGCTAAGCTCTAGGCTACAGGGAATTAGAGCTGCAATCACATGAGCGTTTTAGAGATCGTGGCCTTTTGTGCCCGAGAAATCGGACTTAACCAAGGAAGCCTGTGCTGAGGGCCTGAAAACCAACTTACAAGGAGAATGATAACTTGTGCAGAAAAGTTGAGAAAAGTTTCCACTGTGACAGTCACACACTTAGGTTCAAATTATAGGTTAGTTATAACGTCTAGGTCAACTCTCACACTAGCTTCAAAACCACAGGACCGTTACCTCTGTTGATCTCCGTCTTCCTTCACCCACATTCGCCCATTGCTTCCAGGGAAATCTGTGGGCATCGTTACCACCACGCGAGTGAACCATGCCACGCCGAGCGCCACCTATGCCCACTCCGCAGACCGGGACTGGTATTCGGATAACGAGATGCCTCCGGAAGCCATCCAGCAGGGTTGCAAAGACATCGCCCATCAGCTGTTTGAGAACATCCCAGACATTGAGGTCAGTGCGTATGCCGCCTGTGTGTATGGACAGGATAGCCCATTATCCACCGTTCCTACACCTGAAGTTAGAACAACGAAGGGAGGCACATCCACAGGAATAGGAACATTAAAGGAAAAAGAATGCTATAATTTTGGCAGACATGAAACAAAATATGTACACATGACCATCAGGGGAGGATGGGGTTGAACATGCAACCTTCTACATGTCACTTTTATGTTCTACCACAGATTTTTTTTACAAATGCAGTGCTAGCCCTGCTGTGGTGGCTGGGGGGGGGGCTGCTGCAAATAAGGAGGCAAGGGTGTGTGTGTTTTTTAAACCTTCCCGTGAGGAAGGGGGCTCCGGGGGGGTGCTCTCTCTCCATCCATCCCCCCCCCCTCCGCATCTAACCAGTGGGATTTCCACCGGCTCATGCACCAAACTCATTATAGCCTTTCTACAGCGTTGACTTGTGTTCTGGTACGTCATAGGAAGACATTTCCTGTCTCCCCCTCGGTTCTCCTTCAGGGGCACAGAGCAATCCAGAGAGCTTTCTCTGTGCATCTGCTGTGTTCGGCAGGAGAAAATGAACATAAAAATTAAAATCTTTATTGATTTAATACTTTTTTTTTAAAAAAAGGCTGCCAAGTAGCATGGGTAGCGTTTTATCCTCATCAATATTCCAGCGGACTCCTAATTTCCAGATGTTACATCCTGCTGCAGCAAAAGCAGCTCACGGAGACCTGTGGCACTTTAAAGACGACCCTGTTTGTTCGGGTTCTAAGCTGCGGTGGTGGACAATGTGGGACTCTGTGAAGGTGCACGGAGCGGTCCGGAGAACAGTCCGTGCCTCAGGCAAAGGGGGCTAAGGGTCCGCAGAAGCTCCCAACGTGGTGAATCTTCAGGACTCTCGGCGGTTTCTTCCAGTGAGGAGGTCTTGCTAGGCAAAAACTCTCTGAAGAGATACGTGACGTGCCAGGAAGGAATTTGAACACGGGGCTTCGGGCCACTGCTGCCACCTGCCACGCAGGCTGCGTTTCTTTCTTCCTTTCCACGATCCCTCCTTGTCTTAACCGCAGACCTTTTTGGGTGTTCCCTCCACCCTTCCGCTGTGAGGCGGAAACTGAGCCGCCATTATCCGTCCCAGGTCGCTCAGAGGACCGACCGGTCCCTGCTTGACCTCCCAGAGAAAACATTCAGCCCAAGGGCCTCCCCTTCCCTTTCCCTTTATCTCGGAAGATGCCTGCGTGTTTGTTTCAGCTGGCGCGGCTCCCGTCCCGCCATCAGCAGCAAGTCTCAAAAGCAGCCGGGCGGGTCCCCTGACATCTCATCAGGATATTTCACTTCCTCCTCCTCCTCCTCCTCCAAGGCCAGTTCTTGGCAAAGAACTGAACCCACCAGCCCCGTCTGGGCGCAAGCAGGGCATCTTATTTCCCTGGGAACCTTTTCTGTTTTTCATCCTCCTTGGTCGGCTTCTCCCTGAGAAGACCAGCCGCTGCCCTGCCGCCCGGTCGCATCTCTTAATTCTTTCGCTTCTCGCTCTTACATCGGCGTTGCTTATTCCCCACTCCGTCCCTCCGGTATTCCTTTTTTATTCAAATGTGTGTCCAAGGGATGGCACAGGCTGGTTATTACAAACTGACCAACATGGAAAGTATGGATCTCAGTGTGAATTTCTTTTTTTCTTCTTCCTCGTTATGGTCTGTTTCTTCAGGCCCCACACCAAGTAGGCTTGCCACGGACGCACCCCTCCCGGTCCCCTGACATTTTGCAAAGCCCCCGCCATCCCTCTGAGGATCCCCCAGCCTCACGGGCTGTCCACGGGTTCGGCTGGGAAAGGCTCCAGCGGGTCGGGACGGATCCGCCCTCTTCCTTCTCTGAATCCCACCTGGGCGCCCTCTCTCTGGCTTTCCCGTCACAGCTGGCACCGTCCGCGGGTCTTGAGGCCACAGGAGTGGGCGTTGCAGCCTCTCACATCTGACCCTTCGGTAGAAAACCAGTACAAAGCACAGAGGGGTGCCCAACCCCTGAAGAACAACAGGGAAGTCTCTCTCTCTCTCTCTCTCTCTTCTCCATTTCTACAAATTGGGGGAAAAAAGGCAGAAGGGAGAAGAAAAATCCAAGAAATGGGGAGCACAAAGCAGCATGGAGGAGGTTCTTGCGCTGGTTTGCTTGCTGGTGCATTTCTGGCTCAGGGTGGCCAGAGGCCCGGCAGACCCAGCAGAATGCGTGGAAAATCCATTATCTGGGCCACTGCCAACCAGCCACCCCCTCACGCACACCCCCCACCCTCCACCAATTCCCTCTTGCCTGGCCAGCCACCCTAGAGAGGAGGAACGGCGCCCCCTGCTGACCTACGGATGCCCCATCGTCTCCAACAAGCCCTGACAATCGGCGGCTGGATGCTCCCCCATGACCGGCTTGCATGCACCCACACAGACGTTTGTGTGTGTGTCCCCCCCCTCCAAAGATCCCGGGCAGGGCTGGCCGATGCTTGGAGAAAAGGCCAAGAGACCACATCCCGTTGGAGAGCTGGCTCCCACCGGTTTGGCCTTGGGCATCTCTGACCCCAAATCCTTGGCCTGTTCCAGCAGAGCCGGCTCCGTCCAGAACTCCCTCCCCTTTCCCAGGAGGGAAGGAAAAAAAGGCCCAACTGTTCCCACTTAGAGGAGATGCCTGGCCATGAATCTGGTGCGGCCTTTTCCCGATTAAGGACCCTGACTGATCGTTCCCAGCCTTTCTCAAGAATGTCAAGGTCATGAAGGCAGAAGGAACATTTTTTTCCCCAGCAGGAGCCAAAGACCGGAGGCACAACTTCTCTCTGTGGCAAACGCCATGTGGGTCGCCTGCCTTGGGATCGGATTCCTTGAAGCAGAGAAACTGGCAGCGGGGGCAGGTGGGGGGAGGGGGGAAAACCCCAAGCACTCCAGGCTTGCTAATTAGGACTGAGCCTAAAGGCCCCTGGAAAATCCAGGCCGACTTCTCGTAACTCAGGAGGCTGACCTCAAACCTCTCCCTTTTGGTGAGGTTCTCCTCCCAGATGATGTGGCTTCCTTGCAGGAGGGCAGCTTCTTCTCGTCAGAAGAAAACCACGTTCTCTCTCGCTCGGTCTCTTCCTGGACAGGTTATGAAAGCGCCAGCTGACAGGGGCCAAACCCTGACTCATTCCCATTCTTGTGTGTGTGAGAGAGAGACTGAGCAAATGCACAACCACCTGAGGGTGAAGCGCCTTCTGTCGGCCTCAAGGAAAGCATTCCTATTTGCGGAAACAGATTTAGCACCAGTGATGCAGAACTTTTCTGTTTCCAAAGCAGCCGATGGGTTCTTTGCATCTATTAACCCTTCCTGTGCTTCTTCTGTGTGTGCTTTGCTTCTGAAAGTGGAAAGGGGGCAGATTTCGGCCCCCCCCAGAGGCAGATTGTGAAGAGAGTGTGATTGGAGGGGGGGGGAGAGAAAAGAACTGGGTGCCTCAGTCTCATGGTGGAAGTGAGGAATTTTGTGAGGCCCGAAAGCTCCACTCATTGGCAGGCTTCCTCGTGTTGCAACAACCTGAATCGGTGAGGGATTTCACATCCCTGCTTTGAGAAGCTGGGAAACAGCAGGACATGAAGTGAAGCCGTACGATCCACACACCAGAATCAGGGGATTGGGAGTTCAGGGGACTGGGAGGGAGGGGCAGCGCCAGCACCGTCCCACCAGCACCACCACCACAGATCCCACACAGAATTCCTCTCTGGCACCGCAGAGGTCTGGGCTCAGCTTTGCCCGGCCTCAGATTCCAGCTGACTCCAAGGACGGCTCGAGTGACAGAACGTCTTCCAGGCAGAGTTTGGCCCGTGACCGGCCGGCCAGCAATGCCACGGTCGGCTGGTGAGTGGGTTGACTGGCTGGTCATGGCAGCCACCACAGCAGGGCAAACAGCCGCCCGTGACGTGGTCTGAGGGGACGAGGTTTATCCCCAAGCTCCCTTCACGGCTGGCATCCGCGGGCAGGACCAGGCACGGTGTTTTCCCCTGGTATAAATAAATAGGTGAGCCTCTTCCTTCAAAAATACTGTAAACCCCAAACATATAAAATAAAATAAAAAATAGGGAGAAAAAAGAACAGTCTGAATCCCTCATTTAAGCCGTTAAATAGGCCCCTTTAAGAGTAATTTTAACTTTGTTCCCAAGCTGGAAATAATTACATGTTGGGCAGGCCAATTTGGATTCTCTGGGATCTGTCAGTGTGTAATTATTATTATTATTAGTTTTGGGTTTTTGCTGATGCTGCTGCTTTTATGATTCACCTTCTAAGACCCTGAACTCTAGGGGAGGGGAAGGCCAGAGTCCCAGCCGAAAACCATGGCCCCAGGACGGCGCTCGGCATGTCAGGCTGCCTCCGACGGGCGCAGGAGGAGAGCCTTTCGGCCAGAGGCAGGCTGTTCCGGTTGTGCCCTATAGAATAAGGAGTCTCCTCTGCAGGGTTGTTCAGAGGATAAAATGTGCATGTGTGACGAGGAGACACACAGATCAGGGAGGGACAGAAAGTCACCCCAGACATTGTGGAGGGGCGGCTGGAGCGTTGAGATTTGGAGAGACTCCGGTTTCTAGTCCTCTGTGAGCCTTGAAAAAAATCGCTCCTGGCCATCTTGAGCCCGGCCAACCCCACTGGGTCCTGGTGAGGGTCAAACTGGGGAGAAGGTGAGCTGAGAAGGTTGTCTTGATGGCCTTCCCTTCCCTCCCCTCCGCCCCCCCCCTCCCCGGCTTCTGCGCAGGTCATTATGGGCGGCGGGAGGAAGTACATGTTCCCGAAAAACACCAGCGACGTGGAGTATCCCAGTGAGGACAAATACCGGGGGACGCGCCTGGACGGCAGGAACCTCATCGAGGAGTGGAGGCAGAGGAAGCCCAAAGACCAGGTGAGGGGACCCTCTGGGGTCGGAGCCGAAGGAAACACGAGAGAGAGCGAGAGAGAGAAAGAAGACCCCTTGGCTGTCTTGCCTCTGGGTTTGCCCACGAGGGTGTTGATTCTCAGGTCCCTGGAAATCCCAATGGCTGGGGGAAACGTCCACGGGAAACTGCTTGCCCCGTTCCCTGTGGGGCAGCCCCTGTGTGCCGCCCCCCAATCAAGCTTGTTCGGCATACCTCCTCTGTTCCTCAAACAGCCTCTACAGAGCAGCAGACTGCCTGAACAAGAGGGCTCCCCCTCCCAAAAAAACCCCCACAAGGCCTTCCCCAGCAACGCAGGACTCCCGTTAGGGAGGGTCAGGGGGTCCCATCTGGACTGTCTTCACCGCAGGAGCCCCAATAAAAGCCTTCCAAAAGGCAGGCGGGCTCAGGGGATCCGTAGTCAGCCAACTCATCCTAGCGGCTTCCCTCTTTGCCAGGAGCAGGTCTTTTGTACCGGTAACGGAACTTGAGGGCAACTCAAGAACCAGCCGCCCCAAAAGACTTTGCTGGGAGCTGTAATGGGATGTAGCCACACCGGTTGCAGCGGAACTGGGGAGAAGGAGAGGCCGATCAAGAAGCCCCAGTGCCCTAGAACTGAGATCGTTCCTTGCTGGGCTACCCTTCCGGCACGACATGTTTTCTCACTCAGTCAGTTTCTCTCTCTCTCTCTGACTTCTTCCAGAACGCCCACTACGTCTGGAACCAGACGGAGCTGATGAAGCTCGACCTGAACCAAGTAGATTATCTGTTGGGTGAGTTGAGTGCAAAGTTTGGCCACGCAACGCACACGCAAGCTCTACCCACTGTACCAACAGCTGCGTAATTGGTGCAGAAGCCAAGAGATAAGATGATGATGATGATGATGATGATTTTGCCATTGTCCCCCACTCTTTCCCCTTCTCTTCCTCAGGCCTCTTCGAGCCCATTGATATGATGTACGAGCTGAACAGGAACAACGAGACGGATCCTTCCCTGACGGAAATGGTGGAGGTGGCCCTCAAAATTCTCCGGAAGAACCCCCACGGCTTCTTCCTGCTGGTGGAAGGTAAGAAGAGGAAAAGCGACCCGGAAGAAACAACAGCAGGGGCTCCTGCTGGCTCTTTTGTGGCTGCAGTAAACTGTTCAGTGGCTGAAATGTGCCCTGAATCATTCAGACCGCGCGATCCTGGCACTCTCTCTCTTCCAGGGGGCAGGATTGACCACGGGCACCACGAAGGGAAAGCCAAGCAGGCGCTGCACGAGGCGGTGGAGATGGACCGAGCCATCGGCCTGGCCGGCGTCATGACCTCCTCCAAGGACACCCTGACCGTGGTGACGGCCGACCACTCCCACGTCTTCACCTTCGGAGGCTACACTCCGCGGGGCAATTCCATCTTTGGTAAGGAAAACCCCGCGCAGACCGATTGCTGCACAGGGTTCAGAAATGCCTGGAGAGCCTGGGCGGAGGGCAGGGCTTTTTCCCCCACCCCTACATCAGGCCATCGCCGTCCTTGCACCGGAGACCAGGGAGATGGGACATGGGGGGAAGGCAGGAGGACAGCCCCCCCCACACTCCTCACCTTTATGTCTTCCATGGAGACCTTCATTCCATGTGTCTGCACAGGGCTCTGGGGGGTGGGGTGGGGTAATCCTCTTGAACAAGAAAGCATTCTCAAAGTCATTGTGTTTCAGAGACATTTTAGAGGAGCATAGCAATGGATGGGATCCAGAGGGTCATCTAGTCTGCCCCTTCCCCCTGCAGGGAATCCACAGCGGAGCCTCCCTCACAGAGAGCGATCTAATCCCAGTTTTAAAAAACGGCAGAGCAAAGGGACCGTAGTATCCTAGAATCATGGTGTTGGAAGAGGACTTCCAAGGCCGTCAGGTCCAACCCCCCCCCGGCTCAAGGCAGGGGTCCAAGTCCAAGCAGACCTTTGACGGAGGGGGGTCCAGTTTTCTCTCGAAGGCCTCCAGCCTTTGGGTGCTCACCACCGCCTCCCGAGGTCATGGGCTCCATCACTGCGCTGCTCAAGCAGTTAGGAAGTTTTTCCTGATATTCCACTGAAATCTGGCTTCCTGTCACTTGAGCCCACGGTTGTGTGTCCCACACTCTGGGAGGATCGAGGACGGATCCTGCCCCTCCTGTGTAGGACAGCCTTCCAAATCTTTGAAAGGGGCTCTCCTCTCTCCCCTCTGGCTTCTTTTCTCAAGGCTGAACAGGCCCAGTTCTTTCCACTCCGCTACGGAAGAGCTCTCTACCCTTGAGCAAGTTCTCCCTTAGGTTTACTCCTCTTCTCTTTCCTTGTCATTTGAATCCTGGGGTTCAGGGCCTGGGGCCTCCTGGGAGAGTTCAGCCAGAGGGTCCGCCTCCTTCTCTCCCGGGCCAGCCATTCTCCTCGTATCTGAGGAGGCCTCCCACAGCATCTCCCCCCCCCCCCATTTCCATCCACCAAAACAGACTTTGCCTGTCCCCCTCTGTTTTCGTGGCCACTTCCCCTTGTCGATGACCAATTTCCTTTTGATCGGTCCCCCACGGACGAGGGCGAAGGCCTGCCTGTGGTTTTGTCCATCGATTTGTTCCGTTCTGTGTCCAGATCATTGGGCCTGCGAGATGCCCGGGGGGGTCTCCCGTAGCGTCCTCTGGTGCCTTTCCAAAACCGCCCTTGGGGCAAACCCTTTGCAGGGCTTTGGAATTCTTCTCGCAGGAAGGCTGCAAACCTCGGTGGCTCAGCTCTGCTTTCCAGAATTCAGAATTTTATGGACCCGTCAGCATGGATTCATGCTGCCTCCTTGCTGTCACTTACGTAGGCGAGGGAGGAAAAGGGGCACGGTGGGAGTGGAAGCCAACAAAGTGGTGCTTCTTATTTTATTTCTCTCGCTTCTCAGCCCTGCCCAGGTGCCCAGAAAGGCAGACAGAACTGGGATTGTTCTGCAGGGCTCCGGAGAAATCAGAAAGAGGCTCCCAGCAACCTGGCTAAGCCCTTGAGAGAGCCACTGCTCCTTCTTCCTGCCACTAAGCACGGATTATTATGCCCTATTTCTAATGGCCTCCATCTAACTGCATGCCCTTGCTAAGAGCGGATCCTATGAATGAATGAATGAATAGGATTCCCTTTAGTTCATTGGCTTCTATTGTTCAGCCATGAATCCTGGTTGATCTTCCCACACAGGATTAGCCCCAATGCAGAGCGACATGGATAAAAAACCTTTCACCTCCATCCTCTACGGAAATGGACCTGGGTACAAGGTGGTGGCCGGTGAGAGAGAAAATGTCTCCACTGTGAATTTCAGTAAGTCCTGCGCCCTCTTCTTGTTTCATCCCCACCTACCTGTCCTCGTCCTCTCCCCCCCCCCGCACGCACATGGAGAAATGCAAAACCAAACTTCCCCTGATGAGCATCAATCTAATTGTGCAACATGAATAGAATAACAGCATTAAAGTATTAAATCATGATAAATCGTAATAAAGCAGAGCGCTTTATTATGGTAACGACAGTGGCATGTTTTCAATATAAAGAGAGGAATAAAGTCTTACCTTTGATATTGAGGCCTCGGGGTGGCCTGCAAGCAATTGAAAAGAACTTTAGAACCAACCCTAACTTTTTAGAACGGCACAAAACGTGTCCATTCATTTGTTCGTTCGCCCATTCAATCCTCCCATAACTTGGAAAACTTTTTCCCCCCCCCCCCGACTTAAAACTCCACATTGCCCCAGTTGCATTCCAGAGAGGGGAAGGGGTGGTGGTGGTGGAGACAGAGGGGGGGGCACTTCCCCAGGGGGTTGTCTAACGGCTCCGCCCGCCCTTCTGCACTATCTCCACAGCTGACGTCAACTACCAGGCTCAGTCGGCCGTCCCTCTGCGGATGGAAACGCATGGCGGCGAAGACGTGGCGGTCTTCGCCAAGGGCCCCATGGCTCACCTCCTTCACGGCGTCCACGAGCAGAACTACATTCCCCACGTCATGGCGTATGCCGCATGCATTGGTGACAATCGAGACCACTGCCTCTCTTCCGGCGCCCCTCGCAGTCTCCCAGGAGCCCTCACGCTGACTCCGACCCTCTTCTCCTTCCTCCTCCTCCTCTGGCTTTTGTTCTGAGGCCTCCTCTTCCTCGCCGGCCTCAACTCCTCGCTCTGTTGAACAGTGCCAACGGGGGATCTCGCTGCGCTCGGAAATTTCCCGCATGGATCCCGACTCAGGATTTCGCACGTCTGTCGAGGTGCAGAGCACTGAAGTCCTCCTTTATTAGATATGTTGAGGAGCCGTTTTCTGCCATAAAGAGACCACCCAGTGGGCAGCAGCCAGACCCTTCTCCTCCTGGCTGGAAAGGTCTAGAGGTCCAGGACAAGGGTGGGATATCTCTGGGAAGTCCCTGTTTCGGACGTGGCAGGATCCGTGCCAGCTGTCAACAACTGGACATGCTGGGCTGCTTGGCTCTCACCGTTTCCTAGACAAAGATAAGGTTTTGAGTTCCCGCAGGCAGGACAGGAGCACCTCTGCCTTTCAGCCCGTCGGTTGGAGCTTTTTAAAAACCTCAACAGAACATTTCCACCGTTTTTCCTAGAAAGGTGTCTTTCCTTCCCTTATTAAGCCTTTCTAAAAGTGACGCAGGGGGTGAAAGATAAACCTGCCACTTGCTGCCTGAACTTCCTGTTTGTCCGAAAAATCTCTGTTTTTCCTTCCTGATCTGCCTTTCACCAATTTATATTGTAATTACAAATTTAAGACCTCCATCCTGATTTTGGATAAAACATGAGGATGAATTTTCCACATCACTTGTCGTCCAGTTTTGCCACCCGGGCTTGGCGTTTTCGCAGCAAGAGCGTCTGTCGAACAGCAAGGAAAACCTCTCGTCTCCTGAGCCACTTGTGGACAGAAAAATTAGCATCTTGGGATGCGATCTTCTCCATCAGGAAACCTCTCTCGGGTCCACCTTTGCCTGCAGAAAATCCTAAAAACAAAAAAAGGAGGGATCAGCCTTCATTAGTTTGTAGATTATGTGCTTCGTTAGTTAACAATTTGTTGATGGATTTGCATTTTTTAAAAAAGTGCTAGCATCAACCTACCTTGTTAGAAGTGAGATTTACTACTGTTTTTAAACACTCCCCCAAAACAAATTTATTTTCTTGACTGTTTGCATTATTGCTATTTTTAATTGCCAAAAAAGGGGGGGGGGAATCTGGGAAGGAATGATTAAAAATAAAACTATTTGGGAACAGTGAGAGAATGGTCTGTTGGGATGAAGAAAACAAGAACACCCGGGGCCAAGTAGAGTTCCAAAACCCACAAGCGCTAACTTTGGGGTCTGGTGAGATGGAGGAGGAGAGAAGCTGGAACCCTTTGTGATGAAACTGTGGGCTTAGGGTTTCCATACAAGAGGACTCTCGCACCTGTAAAAACCTTTTTTTGCAGAAAACCCAGAGCGAATTTTTCTAGAAAAGAGGACGCTTCTCTTAGAGGCCATGCTGTGTCTGCTTCTAATTGATCCTGGATCAGAGATCTGATCCATTCAGCTAAAAGTCTTTCAATATTTTTTTAAAATTTGGAATGAAAAAAGGAGAGAAACGTTAACAGCAACCTGCCAAAGGGGATTCAGACATCCTGGCCTGGCCTTCGCAGCCCCTCTCCCAAAAAGAGTGGCTTTCAGAGGTTGGGAAAAATTACTTTTTAAAAAACCCTCCATGGCTGTGCTGGGTTTTTACTTCTGCTCTTGGAAACCAGGCCAGGAGAGCCAACCTGAGCGTCTCAAAGCGACTGCGTCTGATGATCCCAGACCATGGGGGGGTGCGCTTTGGAAAATGGGATCATTCCTTCCTCTGGGGAAAAGGGTCAAAATGTGCCATTTAACAGAGGGAGCTGAGACAGGGAGTTCTAGAATTATACAGATAAATGGCAAACTTTAAAAAAAAAAAAACACCAAAAACCCCTACACATTCTCACATCATACGAATGACATATCTATGAGTAAGAAGTGTAGCCTCGGCAGACTGTCGGTGTACAAAAGAGGGCACCTACAAACCTCTACAGTCTGATAAACATTACAGATTATTACCAGTTGTCCGTCCATCTTTCAAGAATGATACCAACATTCGGGCGGGGGGGGGGGGGAAGGAGAAGGAAGAGAGGGAACCATCAAGCTCCCCTGCCCTACAAGAAGGAGAAAAGCTGAGGAGGGGGAACCGGGCTGGGTAGGAGGCTACCAGGCAGCCAAGCGGTTACCGACAACCCCCTTTTTTCCCCCCTCCTGTGTCCTTGGGTTTTGGGGGAAAGAGTTGCCAAGGCACTTAACAAGCCAGCCAGCCTCCTTTCAGGGCCTCGCTCCCTGGGAAACTCCGGGGCCAGCTGGCGCGCTCGCTTGGGAGTCAGCCCTGGCTGGCAGGCTGACCGACGGGCATGCCCCCCCCTCCCAGCGGACGGGCATGATCACAAGGGGCCAGCTCCCCCTCCCAGGCGGCGGCCCCTGGCTTTTTGCCTTGGACAGTTTTCTCCAGCGGGGAGACTCCACGTCCTGCAGAGTATAAAGTGTTTTCCTGTGATCTGGGGGGGGGGGAGTTTGCAGAGAAATGGCACAGGAGCCCCTGGAGAAGGAACAGAGAAAAACCACCGAGGAGGACTCCAAGCCAAGCGGCCAGGGACTCGGCCAGGGTGGCAGCAGGCCGGCTCCTTTCGGCACCTCCTTGTTTTGAGAAATACGGAACGCTCCTCGTCCAAGCCCACTTGGGGAAAAAAATATCTGCAGCAAACAGCCGGCCACGATTTTCTTGGGTGCCAGGACCGGCTCTGGAGTGGCTCTCTGCCTTCATCCCACTCCCCCCCTCCTCTCGCCTGCAACAATCCCTGACGTCTTCCTCTTTGGAGTTTCTCCAACCAGGCATAAAATTTCACTTCGGGTGCCCCGCGCTGGAGGGCTAGGTTTCCAGCCCAGGCAGAGAGCAAGTGGTTGCCTGGAGAGTTTAGCGATGCTCGGATAACCAGCATTCATCAAGGAAAGCCCACGTGTGGGTGCAGGGAAAAAAGAGAGAGATTTCCAACCACCTTCTCTCTCTCTCTCTCTCTCGCACACGCACGCACGCACAGACACACATTCTTTGTGTGCTCAGGGATTACGTGCATAAAAACCACAGTTGAGAAAGTCACTTTTCCAAAGCCATTTTTGGTCGCCACTTGCAACATCCCAGAAGTTCTTAGTTTATTACTAAAGCGGCTATTTTTAAAAAATTGCCCAAAACACAACTGAACAGTGACTGTTCAGAGTTGTCCTATATATAAAACTAATGCTAAATTCCTTTGCTTACAAAGCTATCCCTTAAAGCACCTCAATCTTTCAGCGCTACAAAGCCCAACTGTTTGCCCAAGTTTGGGTCACAAAACCAAAGCAAGCGGACTTGCCAAAGGCTGATGGATTTGACCGCCATACCAAAATAATAAGCAGAGTGTCTTCTCTTTTTAAGGCTGCACCGCATCTACGTGGGGAGCCAACATTTCGTACAGTGAGGCTCCAAAACACAGCTAGAATTGTAGCAGAAAAAGAGGAAACTTGTTAGAAGTGTCCTGCATTGAGGGTACAGGAGTTCAGCACCTTGGACAGCTTCCGTAAGGTTCAGACCAAAACTTGGAGTGAATCTGTGTGTGTGTGTGTGTGTGTGTGGTGTGTGTGAGAGAGAGAGAGAGAGAGAGAGAAATAGAGAGAGACATGTAAAAGCACGGTTACCCGGCTGCTGAAAGTCAACGGGGGCCACCGCTGTTGACTCTCAGCAAGGGGCTGGGATTCACCTCTGGGTCTCCAGGCAGGAATACCTGTCTCCAGGTGAGCCCTTGAGGGCAGGAGGAGGGCAAAGGGGGCTTTCAACGCTGGGCTTCCGTTCTCTGCCTCTGCCCAGAGGGTGCCAGAGCCAACGGTCTCCCTGGGCAGGACAGCCTGTATAGCCTTGCATGCCTCCATGGTTTGGTATGGAGGCAGAAGCTGGGAGATGGACAGAAGAGGAGTCCGTCAGATAACAGAGGCTGGCCCCAAAGTTTAAGAACGCCAACCAAAAGCACGGGCAGAGTCCTGCGTTTGAACACGTCCTTCTTGAATTGCTGCTTTGAGATTTCTTCTTCTTCTTCTTCTTCTTCTTCTTCTTCTTCTTCTTCTTCTTCTTCTTCTTATTATTATTATTATTATTATTATTATTATTATTACTGCTTTTCCAGCAGAGGATGTGACTCCAAGGCAGAATGCAGGCTTGCAGCCATTTGCTGGCAAGGCTCATGCTGACAAGTTACAGGGCAGGCAAGGAGGAGCGAGAAAGGCAGGCCG